AGAAAAAAAAAAAAAAAAAAAAAACTCACCTAAGGGATTCACCTCTCCACCATACCCATGAACCCTAACCACATCCTCAAACGCAATCGCCGCATCCCTCGGCACCCCATACCAAGTCTTCCCGCTCCCCAAATGCAAGTAATTCAGACTGTGCAACTCATGATCCTCAACATGCCAAGCGAACCAGCTAAACATCATGGCGACATAAATCATCGGCGAGGTAACCCCCGGTATCTCCTCCTTCATAAACCTCAACAGCGACCCCTTGGCCCTCGAAACCCCCCTCATATTCCACCCGCTCTCACCCACATTACCCACCTCCTCCTCTTTGCACCCCCATTTCTTCACAATCGGAACAAACCCCGAACCGGGCATGTCATTCGCGTACTCGACCGAAAAGGGTTTATCAGCACAAGCTCTCCAAAAGAGGGCTTCCACCTCCAGCGGCGAGAAGGGGGTCTTCTTGTTGAATTTCTTCATCTGGGCGCGCTCGAATTGCTTCGCCTTCGACTCAAACTGCTGCAATGTGTAGCTCTCTCCGCTCTGCCACACGGGCTTCTGCACGGGCCTCGGGCGGCGGGGGCAGAACCCGATTTGCTGCTGGCGCGTGAGAAAGTCGGTGGCTTCTTGGCGAGGGGTCCCGGCGGCGAAAAGGAGCGGTTGAGGGTTGGAGAGGGTGGTTTTCTTCCGAAGGGAGGGGATTGGGGGAGCATCTTGCAGTGCCGAAGCTCGAGCTTCTGTGTCTGGATCTTAGGAGGATGAAGGAGATGGGTCAGAGATCTGGAGGTTGGGTTGGTACTCGGCGGGCGTAGAGGGAGGGTTTTGAGGCATTGGGGACGCTCGAGGGGAGTGGGTCTGAGGGTGAAAGGGGAGGACAATTGGAGGAGAGGAGGGGCTAAAGTAAATTCTAGGGGGGCAATACATTTGGGCTAGATGGTGGAGACATTTTTCAGGGGGCAGATTCGGGGGGTTTTGGGGCGAGGGGAAGGTGGAGGAGGCAAGTGGGCAGAGTGTTGTTCTGTTTTGGGGCAGAGGAGGAGAGAGAGAGAGGGTTTGGGGGAAATAACAGAGAGTGCCGCTGTGGTGAGAGTGAGAAAAAGGGGGGGATTTTAAAAATTTTAGAATTGAGGTGAAGACTGAGAGAGGTTTGACGGAGGTGAGAAATTAATTTGACTGCTTTTCCATTTTTTGGGTTTTTCGTTTAAAATTTTGAGAGAGTTTTCCCTTTTTTTTCCCCAAAGACAAATCATTGTTAAAATCTAATTTGTGTATTTCATCGGTTTTGTATACACTAGTTAATAGCAATATAGCAGCTTAGTCCAAAATAAAAGATACACCAAGAAATACAACAAGAACAATAACAGTAATGCTTGTATCTCAAATGTTGATAGAGTGTTGACATGAATCATGTTCTTTTATTTTTCTACTTTAAATATAAATATAGCAACTTAACTATACATATATATTAGCACTAAGTGATGAAAAAAACTATGCATAAATACGAACCGATGAAAAAACTAAATTGAGTTAAAATTAATTCAGTAGAGTATGTCGAATTAAAATAATTTGAAAGCGGTTGGTTTAAAAGTGATTATGACTATGGGCAAAATATTGGGGGTCATGAACAAAAAAGGGGAAGGGGAATCTTCGTCTAAGGGTCGATAATTGACTGGGTGGGCTTCATTGCAGATTAATTAGGGTAACTGGGCCTTTGGAATATTGGCTTTAACTGATTGCGAAGTGGATGGGTGGAGTAATAAAAGAATAGAGGGGGCCCTCGGCAGGGCTAGTGTTCAATGGACAAGTGGCCTTGTTTGGTATAAATTCTTAAATAACCATGAACTATGATTAATGATTTGCTCTTGAATATAGCTAATTAGTTGACATATATACAAAACCTGAGCCAAATCCAAAATTTTTTGAGTGAAGATCATTAAATATCCAATGTCAGATAAGGATTAATTTAAGTCCTTATTAAAATCTAGTGTTATTAGTTGTCCGTGAGTTAGGATCAGCAAGCCGATTTTGAAAGTACACCTTAATAAAAATAAAAAATGTCACTTGACTTCCCTTTTACGAGTCGAGAAGAGATCATTTACATTCTAAATTGTAAAGAATGACTACACTTATATGGACGAATGAATAGGATTAGTTCATCACCTGTAACTAAGTTTTTTTATATAAAATATTTATAATAAATAATATTCATGAGATCTATACAATAGAAAGAGATTTATTGATGAGTTGTAGGCGTGTTTTCTACATTCAATGATGTAGAAATCCCGTGGCGTGCGAGACTTGTGAGACTAAAGGGGCTGTTTGGTTGCACACTTTTTGAGAAATTTTTTTTAAAACATCTGATAATGGCAAATTTGTAATTAAAAGTTTTCCAGAGATTTCTGTAAATTGTGTTTGGTTTAACAAAAAATTTACAGAAATATTTTCTATAAAATATCAAAACCTACCAAATTTTATAAAAAATAATTTCCTCTCAAAATGAGATGAAATCACCAGAAATCTGACACATACCATATTTAATTAAAAACCTACCAAATCTTGTTATTTTCTATAAAGTTATGAGCTATTTTCTTGTTTTGAACCAAACAAGCAAAGTAAAAAAAACAAGAAAATTGGTACTTTTTGATTTCTCAAAACTTTTCCTATAATTTTTTTAAGAAATACAAGGAAATCATATTTTAGGTGGAAAACATTTCCTATAATTTCTAGAAATTGAACCAAACACCCCCTAAACACACAAATTCTTTCACATGATTAATGAGCACGTGTCACTATTCAGCTTCTAGTATGCAAGAACGATTGAACTCTGACCTTTGAATGTCCTTTTTTAGAGACATAATAACCAAGTAGGCTGAGTTGGAGAAGTTTTCTAGTAGGGATGGTAACAGGTTAACTTGAACCGGTATCTATTGTATTCATAAATTTGTACAACTTATAGTAGATCAAACTAACAAGTTTGCAGATTCAAAATGAATAAATTACTAGAGTGCTATTTTGGTATAACCCTCTCCTTAGTTTGACTTTTTTTTAAAAAAAAAAACTCTGACAACGTTTCGTTATTTTTTTTCCCCTGAGCAAAATGTACCAATTAAAACCACAATTTCACTGTTGGCCAGGGGAAAAAAACACGAAACCTCTTTCCTTTTAGCAGTCCTTGACCTCTCATGCTTTATCTTTACTATATTTGGAGATAATATCATGTCCTCTCTTTCTTTGTCCCTAAATTTATTTCCTTGTGGTAGACTTAATATTGTTGCATAAGTATTATCTTCATATCAATATATGCCAAATAATCATTTGACACTTTCCTCGTAAATAATATGGCACTAATTCACGTGAGGTTTTGCCTTTTTTTTTTCTTTTTTGTGTGTGTGTGTTTGTCAACAGTAAAGTTTTGGATTAAATTGTTCTTTTAACTCAGAGAAAATACCAAAATATCATGGGAGCTAGTCAGCTAGAAAAAAAAATCAATATGATAATTCACCCAATTCAAAACCAATCCGAGTAAGCTTTCTGCACTTGTCCACAATAAATGAATCTGGGCCTCACCAAATACATGCTGGTACGCTTTGGCCCAGCTCATAACAAATTTAGAATCAAACGGCTTTTCCCTTTAAATTCCACACTTTATTTTATTATTAGGGGAATTTTTTAAAATAGCCCACTTTTGCTAAATATTTAGCAAAATAGACTATTTTGCTAAATATTTAGCAAAATAGACCTCTTGGCCAATAGGCCAAAAAAGGTCGATTTTGAAAAACAAGGCTCAGAAAACATACGGGACTAGTAGTCACTAGTCACGTATGTTTAGAGCCAACTTAATCAGCGTTTAGTGGACTCAGAAAACTTACGGGACTACTGGTCCTGTATATTTTCTGAGTTCATTACCAAAACGTACGGGACTAGTAGTCCCGTACATTTTGCTGAGACATATTTGCCCGTGCCTAGCAAATCCACGGGACTAATAGTCCCGTGGATTTGCTAGGCAGAGCTAAAACATGCACAAAACATGCACATGCCTCATTTATCGATATACGACCAAAATTTTCACCAAAAATATATCATTTACATTGTGTACTTTGATAAAAGTTATAAAATTACAACATCACAACACAAAATGTCAAAAATACACAAAATCCTACGTAATCAATAACATCACAACACAAATCCGACGAAATACACATCACATCCAAAATCCGACAAAAGTACACATCACAAATCCATACGATAATATATATTAGTCTAAGCTAAACAAATCCTAATGTATCAAGTCTACCCATACGATAATATTTAGTCTAAGCTAAACAAATCAAATGTCAATAAATCCATACGACAATATATATCTTAGTGGAAAAACTAACAAATAAAAAATCCACCCTCCCCCGTTGTCTCTCTCTTCGCACTCATTGAGATCGTCTGCGGCCTCCTTTGACTTGAGTTTGTATATGCTCGCTCTCCGGTTGTGTGTTGGGCTGTGACGGACCGAGTTGCTGTGACGGACCAGCTTCATCGTCGTGCGTGCAACGTCTACCACGTCTACGTCGGCGTGCATATAGAGTATATTCAAGATCCACCTGCTCACGACCTTCATGTCGATCCTCATGAGTTTGTTGAAAATCTCTATGAACTCTCGCCACTATCCGATGCAATATCGATACATGTAGTGAATCTCCTGTGGCGGTAGCTATGCCCTCATTTGCAATCCCCTCGACCTCGTCCATAGCATCTATCTACAATTACATAAAAATATTAATATAAGAAACCAAAAGCTAACAAGAGATTGAACATTCTATTATAATTTTTGTAATTTACTTACCCATCGCCTCTCATCTAGCCCTCTTGGTACATATCGTGATTGTTGGGAGTGAATCTCGATTTCGTCGACTGGAGGTGCAGTTTGAGTGATTATCTAACATCTGGTAATCCCCCAGTACCATTTAATGTAATCAACTTTCTCCATCAGAGGATAAAGCTGATCGACAATAAGTTAATGTCGATCATTCCACCTAGTAATGTATGATTGATGTGTGTGCCACCAGTCAATTTGATGTCAACCTTTAGACACCTTTCTCTCTATTTGTTCGACAGATTGTGGAGCGGGTTGTGTGAGTCCAAACTGTCTAAACACGTGATCGGGTACGTGCATCTCCACAATCTTGAAACAAACGAGAGGAACTCTGGCCCTCCATATGCCGTGTCCCTCCATACAAATCAGCGGTAGACGAGGTAGGTGAGGGGTGTATGGCTGCCACTCGAGCTGCAAAATAATCCATATATAAATAACTTTTTGAAATATATCAATAGCTTTAAACGCCTTCAATTCAAGTTTGATACCTAAAAAAATTTCATCCGGTCGAGCTCCCCTCTGTAAAAATCTAGTTGCCTAGCCGGGGTCTCATCATATGCTTTTGTGACATTCCATCTACAATATAGGTTTTTGTTCAAAATGTTAAATTTAAAATTAAATAAAAACGAGATTCAATTTGACGATTTTTACCTGCAGCCTAGTTGAATATGTCCATCTAACTCTCGGATCTCGCATAATCGTGGTTTCAAAACCAGCCTCTCCCATGCCCAAACTTGTAGCAATGTTAAATAGCCCTTGAGCTCTTTATTTTGCATTAAAGTAATCTTTAATATTTCTCAATATAAGTATGCTAAAACAACACTACCCTAGGATAATGTCCCGCACACATCAAAGTCTTCGAGAAGTGGTAACCACCTAGTGCGAGTTCAAATGTGTTAGTCATATTTGCTAAAAATAGTGAGAAAAAATCAATACTTGAATTGGCATAAAAATTACATTCAAATACATTATAACAATTTATGAAGTGTACTTAACTCAAATGGACTTTATGTTTACTTGAATCTGGAAAAAGAAACGTCCCGATTATGTGCAAAATATATGCTCTGGCATGCTGTTGGATCATCAATTCAAGTGCATCTTGTGGCAACGAGTTTTCAAAACTCTCCTTTAGCCACTTCAATCTAATATACCCTCCAGGCAAGGACTCCAGAGATATTCCTAATAAATTATTACATGTGTCCCTCCAAACATGCCTATCAGTCCCCGTGACATAAGTGCCATCAATGCGGAGACCTAGGATCACTACTACATCCTGGAGAGTAATAGTTGCCTCGTCGACACGTAGATGGAAAGTGTTAGTCTCCAGCCTCCATCTACCCATCAACGTGTTAAGCAGTGCCCAATCGAGCTTCATCCATTTTAATTTTGAGCAAGTGAGAAAACCAACTTGGGATACTAGGGCAATGATGCACGGATCATCAAGTGGCCAGCGTGTATGTCCAAGGCTATGATCAATAATAACCAGCTCTTGTCCTCGCACATTAATGAAAACAAATATTAGAATATAAGAATGAATAAGTAATATGTGACTATAAATAGGTCATCATTACCGATGTAAACGATATGCTCTCTAGACGGTAGCGTGACTGATCATAGAGGATTTCATCAGTAACCGGCCCGGGAAGCATCATGTATATACTTGCACATATAACGATAACTTACTAGTTTTTGCCAAATCAATAACATATAGATAATGTATCTACTTGCTAAATCAATAACATATAACGATAACATATCAATAGAAAATATTTACTTATCAATTAATTGCTATCTACTTGCTCTTGATGGACAACGAGACCTATTATGACCTAATTGATTACATTGTCCATAACGGATTTGTGACGCTACTCCTTCACGACCTTGATACATAGTACCTCTAATGCATACGTATTTTGGTCGTCCCGCTTGTCTTTTGTATTGAGGTGGTAATATATAAGGTATATACAAATCCGGCCAATAACATATCAATAGAAAATATTTACTTCCTCCGTGCATCATATGCTTTGTATTTGGATATTGTTATTCTTTTCATATCATATACCCATGTACTTATCTGTCCTGGAGTAAGATCAAGTTCCCATCTAACTTCGGGCATAATTAGCTTCATGATATTGTTTGCGTCAAAAGTTGGTTTCGCTGTGGAATTCATTATATCTTCGGTCGATTACAACAAATTCAAAAGAGATAGTCTTTTTATAAGACTTCTTTTATACAACAAAAGGAAAATTACAACTCTTGAGAAACAAACGCAGGACCGTTGTTTGGATCGCTGCTTGCGTGGGATCTTTGCCTGTGCCGGGAGCGCTTTGACTCGTGGACCACCGAATCACAGATTCTGATTGAACCGTGAGGGGTTTAATGATTCTTCCTTCGTTTATCGAAGTAAGAATTTGAAGCGAATATCTTATCAATGTAAGATGTTCACTCTTCTAAAGATCAAGTCAGAGCTTAGATCTCTAGGAATCGCCAGAAACTTCTTGAGGATGTTTGTGCAGAAGGAAGACTCTCTTTCTTGCTCTAATTCACCAAAACTCAAGGCTCTTTGCTCTAATCTGCTCTGGAAATGCCCAGCCCTCTTTTATTTCGTGTATAGGGAGGTATTTATAGGGGTCTCAGTGCACCACAGTTGAAATGGGGGCAAAATAACTGACCGAGTGTTTTCTCTTTGGCCGCTGCAGTCTACACTGCCGCGGCTATTGGCGCGGCAGTATAGGCTGCCGCGGCCAAAGGGACGGTTATCAGCACGTTCCATCGTGCTTAAAACCGTTCTCCCACGACCTTTAACCACTTTTTTCGTGGTTTAACTGCTTGTCCACGTCAGCACACGTTTTATTTCTGATATGCTGCCACATAGACCTCAAAAAATCATCATATAACTGCCTTATAACCGCCACAGCACTCCTTTAACATAGCCGCGGTACCCTAGGTTGCAGCGCTTAAGCCGCGACATAACAGGCTGCCGCGCCTTAGCCGCGGCACTATGTGCTGTCGCGCCTTAGCCGCGGCACTATGTGCTGTCGCGCCTTAGCCGCGACGCCATGGGCTGCCGTGCCATCTTGTGTTGCCTGATGACGTGTAAATTGTTCTTCCATATTGTTTTGAGTGGTATTTGGATGCCTGCAAGCATTTTTCGACGCCTACAGATACCCCCTCCAAAGTATCTCAGACTCATCATCATTTTTTTAGAGAGGAGTCTGGGACACTTTGGATATGATAAGCTTTCCTTGCAATTTCTCCAGTGCTTTGTTGAAGAAGTTGCGTAAAATGATTTGTGAACGGCTTAAATCCTTGACTTCTTTATCTTTTAGTCTACTCAGTGCTTTGTAGAATAGCTAAAATTCCTCCGGTACTGCGTTTATCGCGTGGCCGTTGTCGAAGTCTTGAATCAGAACTGTTGTTGAAAAATGGAGAAATAGTTTATACTCATATGCTCTATTGGAGTGTTCGGGAAACAGTTTAACCTCATATATACGTTGGGAGGTTGCCAGGTTATTCTTAAGAATATTTTGAGTGATATTCTCCAGAAACTTCCTGTTGATGGTAGGGAAACAGTTTAGACTCGTGTACCCATTGGAGTAATATGATCTCTTTTTTGTTGGTAGAGGATGGAGAGGAAGAATTTTATATTCTATCTCCTGGTCTCTTGTTTGTTGGTAGAGATGAACCCGGAATTGGAGAGGAAGAATTTTATATTCTATCTCCTGGTCTCTTGTTTGTTGGTAGAGATGAACCTGAAATTGGAGAGGAAGAATTTTATATTCTATCTCCTAGTCTCTTGTTTGTTGGTAGAGATGAACCCGATGTTGGAGAGGAAGAATTTTATATTCTATCTCCTGGTCTCTTGTTTGTTGGTAGAGATAAACCCAGAATCGGAGAGGAAGAATTTTATATTCTATCTCGTTTAAAGGTTTGACCAAGATGGGAATTTGAGACGATCCTAACTGTTTAAAGGTTTGATCGTTCAATTTGTGGACCTCTCGTTCATGGAACGAATCGAGAGGGGATTTTGGCTTTGGTCCTAACTGTTTAAAGGTTTGACCAAGATGGGAATTTGAGACGATCCTAACTGTTTAAAGGTTTGATCGTTCAATTTGTGGACCTCTCGTTCATGGAACGAATCGAGAGGGGATTTTGGCTTTGGTCCTAACTGTTTAAAGGTTTGACCAAAATGGGAATTTTGTGAGGGAAGATTGATCTAAAGAGGTGATCGAATCTCATCTCAGCAAAAGAGTATTCGGAAGTCATAGTAGGAGTTTAGTGTTTATCACTTTGTTCATAATGATCGGGGTTATCCCTAAGAATATTACATTTAACATTCTTCCGGGAACTTCCCGTTACATGAATTATCCACCCCCAGCTTTCTTTGCAAAACTGGGTGTAACGAGGAGTACGTTATCCTCATTCGCATGTTCGGGTTATCCTTAAGAATATAAGATTCTCCAGGAACTCCCCGTTACATAAATCATCCACCCCCAGCTTTCTTTGCAAAACTGGGTGTAACGAGGAGTACGTTATCCTCAGTCGCATGTTCGGGTTATCCTTAAGAATATAAGATTCTCCAGGAACTCCCCGTTACATAAATCATCCACCCCTAGCTTTCTTTGTGAAACCGGGTTTAACATTGTACTTAGTTGGATGACCGAGAAGCAGTTTATACTCATATACTCTTTGGAGTGTGGGGAAACAGTTTATACTCGTGCACCCACTGGAGTTGGATGGTCGTCTTTACTCGACTTCTTTCGTCGTTATGACGCCGGAGTCAATTAGGGCTTGGATCTTGTTTTTGAGTCCAAAGCAAATCTCGGTGGGATGAAGAACCCTTCTGTGGTACGCACAATAATTTGGATCTGTAATCCTCTTAGCTCATCCTGATCTTTAATAATTGGTAGCTCGATTTTATCATTAGCGAGGAGGTATTCTAATATGGCTGGAGCTTCATCATCTTCGAAAGAATATTCCTTTTGAAACCTCGGATCGAGAGTCGCATTCTCAATGATTGCAGATGTCATTGATTGGCCTCTCTCAGCTTTCTTTCTTTTAAGAAAGTGCTCAGCTTGTTCACCCCGAGATTTTAACTCCTTCCAAGTTGTGGATGGCACGACCCCCAGAGCTTCCAGGACATCGATGGAGAGGTTATTGTGGCATGTTTGTAGGATGAATTCCTCTGTAATAGGATCTCTGCAATTCATTGCTTTGTTACGGAAACGTTTGACAAAATTGTCAACTGACTCTCCGTCTTTTGCTTCTTCTCCAAAAGGGTTCCGATTGACACTTCGGTGTCATCATCGAAGAAATTGCTGAGGAACAAACTTTCTATGTCATCCCAGCAATTGATGCTCCCTGGCTTGAGCCGTCGGTACCAATCGAAGGCGGGCCCACGAAGGGTGCCAACAAATGACCGGACCATTAAAGCCTCGTTTCCAGAGATCATGCCCAAATGAGACTTAAAATAAATCAAGTGCTGAATCGGCGAACTCTTCCCCTCAAACGGTGTGAAGTTAATCAGATTGAACTTTGTCGGATACGGTATTGAATCCCATTCTCTTGGATAGGGACATGGAATACCCGTCCTCTTCACTTCTTGAGCCGTCATCAAAGCGTTGACTTTGTTTTCAAGCTCTTTCATTTTCCCGTCATCGTCTATGTCTTCATTCGAATGACGTTGAGGAGAATGAGTTAGACCACCCCCTGTAAGAGGTGCCATTGAACCACTCCCAATATCGTTATTGGGAGAATGTGTTAAACCACCCCCAGCGTTATTGCTATTGGGAGGTGTATCAGCCATAATGACTTCATCCACCTCTGGATCACTGTCCTCTACAACATTCCGAGTGTGGTGGCTGGATTCAAATCGCTGATTGGACTCAGGAGGTTGAGGCTGTTGAGTTAACAGTTCTCTCATTTGTTGGATAGCCAACTTCATTTCTGTCTTCACTTCAGCTCTAATTTCTTCACGTTGTTTGGCTAGAGCTTCCTGAAGTATTTGAGTGAACTGATCAGCAGTGATTGTGAATACTTCTCTGATTTGTCCTGTGCTAGACATTGTATCATCAGAAGCGATTGCAGAATAAGTGTCCGAGAATTCATCCTCCGAGGACATTCCTTCTTGCATTCTCTTGTAGTCTCTGCGTCTGATAGCTCCTAATTGGAGTCTTCTGGGGAAAAGTCGGGATTTGAGTCACTTGAATGCTGTTTAGACTTTCTTCTATCAGCCACGTTGATGGTGACTTCAGGGAATTCATCATCTTGGGCAGCTGATTTTCTTTTGGGGAAATGTCTCGGCTTAGGCTTCGATAATACAGAGATTTTTCGTGGGAAGGC